CTCTTTGTTTGATATCTTTGAGATATAAGCCTCAAAGTTGAAGTTTTGTTGGGTCAGAAAATATGTAAATTTTAGTGACTTCGGGGGCATAGTTCTCAATTGTTTTCCACTGCAGCTGTACCAATTTACAAACTCCATTAGCAGCATATTAGTGTGCAAGTCATCCTACATCTCTTCCAAGATTTATCATTTTCCATTTTTGTCATCTTTGTCAATCTGATAGCTGTGAGATGGAACCTCATTTTTCATTTGTATTTCTTTAGTAGTGCTTTGGAACATTTTTATATGGCTGTTAATCTTGGATTTCTTCCCTTGTGAACTACTAGTTCATATTCTTTGACCATTTATAAATTGGAGAATGGAGAAAAGGTGATTTTTTTTTTCAGATGGAGGCAGAATATATCCATTACCATCTCTGCTTCTTGAAAGTAGTCTGTGTTGCTTCTTAATAAATGGTTGATTGATTGGTTAGATTGATCACAAAGAGGGTGTAGGAGATCACTGGCAAGATCAAAAGGGAGCAAATTACGTGAGAGGGAATGGGGGACAGAGAAGTACAGTGACCCAGTGTCTGTGAGAAAGACTATTCAAGTAAGACCAGTGATGGAGAGGTAGTAAATGGTAGAAGGGGAAAACTCATGTAGGATGGAAGAAGGAATAGGATCTCTGATTGTGGTGAATGGGATGATAATAACTAACAATAGTGAAGGAAGAGCTATTACATTTTTGTTTGTTTTATTTTGTCAAGAAGAATGATCTTTGCACAGGAAATCACAAATCAAAAATAGATATTGGAGAATTAACACCTAAGATAAGTAAGGAGATTATAAGAGTGTACCAGTTTGCTCAGATTAACTAATCCTGGAGCCAATTGTTTGTACTATTTCAGAGATGTGAAAATTGGAAGAGGTCAGATGTCCCAGTTTTCATAAAATGAAAGACAACAGTTTAATCCATAGGCCAGTAGACGTGACTTCAATTTCAGGGAAACTTCTAGAATGTATCATCAAAGAGATAGTTATTGAAAATGCTGTAAAGGAAATGGTGATTTCCAAGAGCTGGCATGGCTTCAGCAAGAAGAGATCATGCAAGACTAACCTTATTTCTGTTTTGTTTTTTTTTACGGGGTCACTTAAACTTGTAGATGAGGGGAATTCTGTGGATATGGTTTACTTAGATTTTAAAATGCAAAGGATTTAATAAAGTATCTCATGACCATTCTTATGGAGAAGATAATAGAGGTGTGAACCAGATAATGATAATATAATTAGGTGGAGTGAGAAATGGTTAGATGGCGAGAGTCAAAGAATAGTCATCGTAGCAAGATGTGTCCAGTGCAGGGCCCTTGGGATCTGTGTTAGACCCTGTGGTTTTTATTTTGGGGTTTTCTTTTAAAATATATTAATGACTTAACAGCACATATAGCATGCTCATCAAATTTGCAAAATGATAAAAAGCAGGGAGGAGTATTTATCACTGGATCCAAAAAGGACTTGATGGCCTAGACTAGAGCATTGGGCAACAATTGATAAGATGAAATTCATTGGGGATAAATGTAAAACTTTTACTTTAGTTCAAAAAAATCAATTTTTTAGACACAGAATAGAGAAGCATAGTTAGAGAACTGCTTGTCTGAGAAAGATTTGAAGGTTTTAGTGGACTAGACTTACTGTGGACTGCTTACTGTGAATCAGCAGTATGGTGTGGTAGCCAAAAATGCTGATGAAATCTCTGCGTTCAGTAAGAATGAGGAGGTAATAGTTCCTCTGTGCTCTCTCCTGGTCAGACCACATTTTAAATGCTGTGTTCAGTTCTGGGTGCCACAGTTTATACAGTTTATACAGTTTACAAAAGGGTATTGACAACAGGAAACAAAGGCAGGCAGCTAGGATAATAAAGGACCTTGAGTTTGTATCATATTAGGATTGATTGAAGTAACTGAGGCTGTTTAGCCTAGCAAAGAGAAGCCTCAGCTGAGATATGATAGCTATCTTCATTTAACTTGAAAGATTGTAATGTAGAAGAGGGATTGGACTTTTTCTTTCTGGCCCCAGAATGCAGAACAGGAACACTAGATGGAAATTGCAGGGAAGGCCATTTTAAACTTGATGTAGGGAAAACCTCCCTTACAATTAGAACTGGCCAAAAGTGGAATGGGCTGCCTTCAGAAGTGGTAGGTTCCCCCAATGGAGGTCTTCAGGTAGAGCCTGGATTCTAATCAGGTATGTTATAGTGTAGATCATTTCAGAGTATGGGTTGGACGACATGGCTGCTTAAGGCCTTTCCAATTCTCAGAATTTGTGATTTTTGTGAGGTAGTATCTGCAGAGTTTGGAAAAAAGTTGAAGTAATGGTAGAAGGTCAAATATTGCTTCCCAATTTAAGATGGAACCACATTGTATATATAGCAGTATTATCATAAGGTCTCTCAGAGTTTGTGTTATAAAGTATCATCTCAACAATTTGTAATTTATTTCATTATTTTTAATAATTCTTTCAACTAAAGAGTTATTCAGCAATAGTAGCACCTAAGTTGTAGTGGCTAGGGAGTAAATCTCAAAGAAGAAAGTAATATTAACCTATTTTTTCCTTTAGTGGCAGAAGTACATTCCATTAAGTCCTACTCTTTATCCAGGTTTGCTGTGCATTAAGTGCCTCAAGTTTTATATTACTCCTTTAACAGTGCTTACTGAGGTAATTTAGGTAAGTGGTGCTGTTACTGAATGATAGTCAGTGAAGTTCCCCTTTTATGTTACTTTGTACTTGCCCCACAGTGACCCTTGTAAGGTAGGTAGTATGAGAATTAGTATTTTACAGATGAGGAAACAGGCGAAGAATGATTAACTTGCCTATAATTGCGTGGGTATTAAGTAGTGGACCTAGGCTTTGACTCCACATCTAGTTTTCATTTCAAAATGTCATTTCATTTCAAAATGTCATCCTGCCTTTAATTATTGAAGCACTTAAGGTTAACAAAGGAACATTTATTTACTCAAATGAAAAGTTGATAGAATATATGAGGGCAATAATTTTTGATGAATAGGGTGGAGAATATTTCTTTTGTTTTTCTGTCTGCTCTAGGCAACCCATCTTTCCACCAGGAAATATAAAATACATGAAATCATCATTGTTTAGTAGTATATTACTGTGTATATGCTCATATTTTATGCAGCTTTGTCCCTCAAAAAATCATCTCTTGAGAGAGATGATAGGTACTCATAATAGTACTCAGTTTAATAGATTTAATTCAATGCTTTGCCAGAGGACCAGATTTGCATTATTTTTTTTCCCATTTGTGAATTTGTTTCCACAACCTCTTAGTGAATATGTTTTAATAATTAAATAAAATAATTATAAAATAATAATATACAATATATTAAATATAAATATATAATATAAATATTATAATAAATAAAAATTAAAATAATTAAAATTATAAAGTACACCTTTAAAGGAAGGAATTTTAGTAACTAGATATAGATTTCTGAATTAATGATGAAACTTCTAGAATTGGTCAAATAAAAAACAAGTTTTGTTTTATTAATCTTTATATAATGAATGGATTTCTGAAAGAAATAAATACGGTCAATTAGATGAGAAAGTGAGATCCATTATGGGGATACCTCAGCAGACGCATAAGTAGATATAAAGTATGTCCAAAGTAATTTAGAGGGGTTAGTGGAAGAATACTGACAGCTGGAGAGGGAAGGAATAGTGGGATCAGAATGGCCCCCTATAGCAGGTCACACCTCCACTGCAATAACCCTGGGAGGTAACTATTATTATCATCCCCATTTTCCAGATGAGGAAACTGTAGCAGATGGTGGTTAAATGACTTGCTTAGAGTCACATAACTAATTAGTGTCAGAAACAGGGTTGGCACTCACATCTTCCTAACTCCAAAGTCAGCACTTCCAAACTCTATACCACAGTTGTTGGGGAATAGTGATGTCGGCCTGAATTATGAGTCTCCATGTGAGTAGGGTCAGAGGGATGAACCTAAGAGAGACTATAGTTAGAAAGTACAAGTTCTTTTAACTAGGTTAAAGAAGTGATTGAAATGTTTTCCCCATTTATTTCTATTATCTCTACAAAATTATTCCTACATGAAAAATGTTCCCTAAAACATAATAAAAATCATATTTGAAGAATCTGAACTGTCATCTTTAGAATAATTTTATTTCTATTAGTACATTTAATTGAATTTTCATAGCTTTTGTAGGAATATTAATCAAATGAGCAATAAGTCCATTTAATCTAATGCAGTTAAACAATTTTTATGTATTAACAGGATCAGGTACCTCTTTGTTTAATAAGTTGCAGTTTAGGATCTTCCTCCACTAGGTTTAAAAAAAAATTGCTCTTTACCTAAAAAATCAGATGGTAGATTAGTTGGGGCTTGTGTTTGTGTATATTTTTGGTATCCCTTTTAATATCTAACTTAATTAAAAAACCCTCTCTTTAGTGAATAATTTTACCTTGAAGGTAAAAGCAAGTAACAAATTAGAGGATTTGAATTTCAGTCAAACGTATCCAGCAAAGAGATTACTTAACCAATGATTTCTTTGGATATTTCAAAATTGGGTATACTTTGAATAAGTGATAGGATGAAGCATCTATGTGTAACTATAATGTTATTTCCATATAAAATTTGGTTCAATAATATAACTTCCATTATTGTTTTCTTATATTTTTAAGTTGTGTAGTTGAATGAAAAAAATGTATAATCATATTAGCACTACAATGACCACCACAGCAAACCCATAAGAAATCAATATTTGAGAAAGCTTCAAAAAATTTTTTGCCATAATTTCCTGTTTACTTTTTTTCTTCACACTGTTTCATATGCTTCTATTTGGGAGCTAGCTCATGGAGATATATAAAGTGTAAATCTCAAAGACGACATGCTTCTTTAAATAATATTATTTGTTAACTTCTTTTTAGCCTTCAATTGAATGTCATGATGCAAACTGTTTTCAGTTTTATTATTGTTTTCTTTAGGCTAAAATAGCCAGGTTGACCAAACGCTTCGGAGCAGCCAAAGAGGACCTTAAGAAAAGACAAGAAGTAAGAATTAGTATTTATAAATTAACATCGGGAACTGAATGGTGATTTTTTTTTTTTTTTTTAGAAAATGGTGGGTTTAATAGGAAAGTTTATTTTTCTAAAGATCTAAAATCACCCCTACCATCCTTTTTATCATTTATCTCACATCTGACCAAGATCATTCTCTCTTCCAGAAATTTGAACACTTTTTTGTATTTTAGTTTTCTTTTTTTGCTCTTCTTAGTAAACTTGGTACCTATTCTATAGCTTCATACTGATAACTTTAAGTCTGTTTAGTTCTTTCCTGTGGCCTTCAAATGTTTTTGCCTTTATTTAAATCAGCTGCTTTGGATTTTATTTCACTATATTATTCTCTCTGATTTTACACTTTTAGTTCTTCATTGTGCTCACTTTTCCTTCCTTCTGGATTCAATGGAATTTGTCTTTCATCATCTGTATCTTATACTAAGATTATGGTCTTTTATAAAGTTATCACAAGGCTTTGTAGCCATATCTAGAAGTCATATCTTTTTCTCTGTGGCCTTTTTACTTCATTGTGTTTTTTCTCTTTCTTTAACCTTTGGTTTAAAAGGTACTCTTCTTTCTTGGTTATTCTGCTGTCTGTCTTACTAGTCCTTTGATGTCTTTTAAAAAAAATTTCCTCTTTTTTTCCTTTATATTTGTCTTCCCTGATAGGTATGTATCCTGAAATTCTTCTATTAACAGCCTCACCTAGGAAGTTCATTTATTATCTTGGCTATTAGTAAGCAAATATTGACTGTAACATATAGTTCTTAATGTAATGTTCCATCAACAGCCTGTAATCAATTATTTCTGATCCACTGTTTTCAACTGCAAAAGTGAGCGCTTTTATATCTTTTAATTGTTTCTCATTGTACATATTCTCTTTACTTATTTCTTCTTCCTATCAGATTTTTTAAAATTGATGCCCTTTGTTTTAACAATTCATTTGTTTCTGAATATATTCTTCCCTACCCTATTCAGCAAGCCTTCCCTTCTAACAAATTATAAAAAGAAAGAAAAGTTTAGTAAAACCGAATATTGGTATACATGAGACCTGTTCTGTCTTTGGAATATGTACCTTGTAGTAGAGGAAGATCTATGAATCAAGGGATTGGACCATTTTAGTTAACTTTCTAAGCACAATTCCAAATTGCTTTCCAAAATGTTTGGACCAATTTATAGTTTATAATGGTACATTATAAATAGTACATTCATTTACTTGACTAGCCTGGTTCCTTCGATATAGATTATTTCCATCTTTTATCACTTTTGCCAACTTGCTAAGCATATGGTAAAACTTTAGAATTATACTAATTTAGTTTTCTCTATCAGTGATTTGGAGCAGTCTTACAAATGTTAATAATTTGTCTAGTCTGTGCCGTTAATCCACTTTTCTGTTTTGAAACCTATTCCCAATAGTTTTGATGATTACTGTTTTATGACATAATTTTAAATCTGAAAGTGCTAGTAATTCTTCCTTTTTTCCTACTTTAAAAAATTGTTTTCCTTGATATTCCAACTCTTTTGTTCTTCCATATGAAATTTGCTGTTATTTTCTCTAGGCCTGTAAAGTAATTCTTTGGTAGTTTGGTTTATGCAAAGGAAACAAATTATGTTGAAATATAATTATCAGCTTAAAAAAAAAACAAGTTCACAGAAACTAGGTTAAAAACCTGTTGAACTCTGTTATATGTTCAGTTATCACGTCTTCTGTATAAGTCATTTTTTTTTGCTTTCATCCCTACTACTTCTCATCACATTAACACCATCAGGAGTTCTTTCATTTAACAGGCCATTCCTTTAATGACTCAGGTATTTCAGTTATTGTTATGTAGTTCTTCCAGAGGATTACTTGACTCAAATAAATACCTATGGGAAGTAGCCAAATAAGATAATACTTGGAAGAAGGGCAACCCGTGAAGGGTTGCTAAGTGTTAATATTACTAAGCCCTCTCCATTATTATAGACTATTATTAACTATATATTAGCAGCCAGCCCAGTTGAGCTTTCTGAACAACAAAAAATCTTGACCCAAGATTTATTAAAATGTCCCTGTGTAAACATACATTCAAATCTGATTCAGTATCTGTTCAAACTTCCATACACATCTGTCTTTATGCTTTTCCTACATTGGAAAGGATTTACATAATAAGGCTTATGTTATTCAAGACTTTTCTTCCCCAAAACAGAAATGAGACCATGGAACATGAGTGTTATAGTTTAAACATTTTAATTGTTTTTATTAGGAAAACTTAAAAAAAAAATTTAAAACTGACTTACTTGACACTTTCTTCTCTCCTCCCAGTTCAAAATGGTTACATTTCTTGGTGGCCTTAGGATGATGGTGATGGCATTCCTCTTAGACCTGCAGTTGAGCAGTACAGTCTTTTTTTTTTTTCTTTAGAAAATTAGTTTTGTTTGACTACCATGGCTACTCTGTTGGCTTTAGTGCCTAAGTAAATAGAGAGTCCTTGTCCTTTTTGTACTGTGTTACTTTATGAGGTTTATGCTTGTTATACTTCTTGTGGTAAGATTTTAGGGACATTTGTTGTATTGGTGGTAGCACTGTCAGCTGAGTTATTTAGAGAAAAATATGTAAATATAAATAATCTTTCCACATATTTATATTGTCTATATTTATAGAGATTTAAATTTTTATATCATTTTTCATTAATGATTTTGGTTCCTCATTTAAATTCAGAAATTAATCAAGTGAGATATTTGTAAAGTACTTAGCACAATGCCTGGTACACATTAAGTGCTTAATAAATGCTGGTTCCCTTCCTCTTTAAGTTCATACTTTGTGCAAAGTACTGTGGTAGCTAAGTGGTACAGTGGATAGTGTACTGGGCCCCAGGTCAGGAAGACCTAAGTTCAAATCTGGCCTTAAAACAGTTACTAATATTGTGACGTAGGCAAGTCACATAACTTGTTTTGCCCTTTTCCTGAACTGTAAAATGGGGATAATAACAACTCCTACCTCCCAGGGTTGTTGTGAGGATCAAATGAGATAATATTTGTAAAGTACCTAGCATAGTGCCTGGCACATAATAGACACTATATAAATGTTTATTCCCTCCCCTGCCCCCCTCCCCCAGCCTTTTATATCTATCTGTAGGGAAGATAGAAAACCAAATAAGTCTTGGTCCCTGACTGTTTGCAACCTTTTGTCCCATTGTAGGGGGACATAATATACAAATAACTATAATTTTTTAAATGTACATGTGACCATGAAACTTTTGGAATTTCCCTTATAATGGACTGAAATTTCTTGTGCTACATTTGTTGTGTTTAAGTCTATTTTCTCTTCGATTTTAAGAAAAGGAGAATAGTTTAATTTACTCCGAACAAATATCCTGGGTTTTTTTTGAAGGATTTAGTTTTTAGTTACCCTTCATTCATTTGTAGTTGATTAATTAGTCAATAAGTATTTACTGAGTATCTTACTATATAACACAAACTGTGCCAGACTCCAGAAGGACATAGACAAAATAAAACAATTCCTCCACTCAGGGAGTTTACATTGTAATGGAGAACCCAACATTGTTTATATTGTTTTGTATATTCTTCTCTCAGGTGTGTGCATGTAAGTAAAATAAATGCTGAGTAACCTTGGAGGGGGGGAAGGCAGTAGCAGCTAGAAGGACCAAGAATGGGGTCCTGCATTAGGAGGCTTTTCAGCTGAGTTCTTTAGTGTATATAGAGTTTGTTGTTGTTGTTTCATTTGTGTCCAAGTACTCATCAACCATTTGGGGTTTTCTTGGCAAAGATACTGGAGTGGTTTGTGTGGTTTGCCAGTTCCTTCCCAAGTTCATTTTGTAGATGAAGAAACTGAAGCAAACGGAGCTAAGTGACTTGCCCAGGGTCACACAGCTAGTAAGTATCTGAGGCCAGATTTGAACTCAGGTCTTCCTGACTCCAAGCCTGTTGCTGTATCCACTGCACCACCTAGCTACCCATATAGAATATGTAAAAGGAAGTTAAATGCAAGTTATTTATGGAGGCAGGCACTGGTGGTTGGGGGAATTAGGAAAGGCTTTATGTGAAATGTGGTGTTCAATAAAATCATCATAGACTTGATAGGAACCTAAGCCTTATTTGATAGACAAGAAATCTTTTGAGTAGAAATTATCTCAATTTCTATTTATCTTTCTTTATAGATCTTAAATTTCTTAGCCTCCTTGTGATTCCCTTTCAATTTCTTTTTTTTATATTTTCTTTTCCTCTCCTGGAAGTATAACCTTGCCTATTTCTTGAAGCAGAAATAGTGTCCACTACCATGGGCATGTTTAGAATGATTTCTCTTCACATTCATGACTTTTTGCATGGTACTCAAATCTAATTCCCTTTTTTTAGCCTTTCTATACAAACCTATTGCCCTGATCTTGGTGACTTTGTAGCTTTTATTATAACAACTTTCCCCTACATCCACTTTCTAAAGCTCCTAAAAACAGATGCCCAAAAAGTCATTTGAGTACATACTTTCTATATAATACAGTGAAATGTGTTTGGAAGGAGCATAGAAAAGAAGATAGACTTACCTCTCAGAGGTCTTAATATCTAATTGTAAAGACATAACAAACAAATAAATAAAAGCATGTTAAACTAAAAACTATATGCAAGTGCTTACTTAAATACCCTAAAGTATTTTTGATTACTTTGTGTGTGTTGTTATCAACATTGATCCCGCCTCTTCACTTATTAATAGACTCTTTTCATGAAATTATTTAGCAATAAAAGAAAAAAAAAATTTCATCACTAAATATTCACCTTGATGATAAGCCTTTCCAAATTTTGCAAGACTGGGGGGATGGAGCCACAATGAAGGAGTTGAGAAGCACTCAGCCAAGCTCTCCCAACATTCCCCTCCAAACAACTTTAAAATAATGCCTCAAATCAAATTCTGGAGTCACAGAGTCAAGAAAAGATAAAAATGAGGCAGCTTGGGAGGTCAGAAAGAGACATCTGTGACATGGAGGTGGAGACTAGCCCAGAGC